AGTGAAGGAGTCAGGAAGGAATGGGAGGCAATGTGTGTGTTAATTAAGAAATCTGACAGTGGAGAGAATGAAATAGGAGCTGAAAAACACAGGAGGATCAAATAAGGATGTTCTCCAAGATAGGAAAGGCCTGTGTATATTTCATAGAAAGAAAAAAACTAATAGATATATGCTTGTCATGAGGGTCAGGATAATTATAGAGACAAGGTTCCAGAAGAGACAGGAAGGGAATGGGACTAGGAACGAACACAAAGTTTGGCCTTAAGACAAAGAAAAGAGACAGACATCTTCAAATGAGTCTGTGTTCTTGTCATTTCCTTCGACTCACATTCATGCCTTACATTTATTTGAACAGTGTGAAGCTAAACATCCACATCTGTGCTCATAGTAGGTCTTCAAGTTAGAGCCTTCTTCATATCACTGTTTGTTGACCATGTGCCAGTCAATGATGTGTTACCTCATGAGAAGGGTACAACTATCATTCCCATCTTACAGATGAGGAAACCAAGATAAAAGATTATAATTCACTTGACCAAGGTCACTCAGCTAGTAAGTAGAAGAGATGGATCGGAGGCCAGTCAGTCCCATTCCAGTGTTCTTCTGTGCTCTTCCTGAAATTTTAAGTGAAAATGGTTGCCTCTAAGTAGTAGGATGAGAGGGTAGAGAGCTGTGTGTGGCACGGGTCTGCAGGGTTTTGTTATAAGCTGTATAAGTACCGTTTGACTTTTTACTGGAGTAGGCTTTCCTTTAACAGACCATTTCTTAAGTGAGGGGTAGAATCACTGAGCCTGGCACAGTCCCTGCTCTCAGCAGACAAGCTCTTCCTTAACACAGTTCACACTTAGTTAGGTATGAACTGTTTGACCACCTGGCCAACCTCATGTCCAGATCCTACTGGGAATAGCAGGCTTTCTGTGACATGTTTTTGTTTGTTTGTTTGTTTTTTGTTTTCCTAATACAAAACAAAATGAAAACAAAAACTTACACAAAGGAACTTCGCTTTAGTCCAATGGTTAAGACTCTGAGTTCCCAATGCGGGGGGCACAGGTTCAGTCCCTGGTTGGGGAGCTAGGATCCCACATGCCATAAGGCATGGCCAAAAAAAACCAACTTGCACAACACAAAGGAGTTTTCACTTTTTGATAATACGAATTCCTACTAACAAAAAGCGAAAAGAACTGGTATCGGTGCTCAGGTGATGACTCAGCCTTCTCAGTGATGAGGGTGAGGTCACTGGCTAGAAGGGACAGGATGATGATGAGGGCTTGACTTTCTTCAAACCATCCCCTACACAGCAGCCAACAGTCTTTTAATATCCTACAAGCAGGCCTGATCATGCTTATCCTTCCTTCTTTGATGCTCTCCAGAGTTCAGACATGGGGTAGGGGTGGGGACTATATAAGACTTTGTGATCTGGTCTCACTTACCTCTCCAGACTAAAGGGCTATTGCTATCCCATACCACCCCTGCCCTAGCTATAGCCTATAGATCTTAAATTTTGCTCTCTTTGCCTCCCTGGGCCTTCATACCGGTTGTTTACCCTTCCTGAATTGTGTTTTCCCATCCCTTCTTCATCTGATTAGTTTCCATGCCTCATCATTCAGTTTCATAGTTTAGAGGTCACTGCCTCCAGGAAGTCTTCCTGACTTCCATAACTAAGTTATGAGCCTCCCCTGGGTGTTTCCATAGCACTCTATACTTTCCCTACATTCCCTAGTATTCATGCCCTTTTGTCTTCCCCTCAAACACTGATGCTCGGATGACCCTGTGAATTGCTTTAACCAACAGAGTGAAGAAGTGACCCAGGGTAGGTTCCAGGACTAAACCTGAAGAAGCCTGGCAGTTTCCACTTCTGTACATTTAAAAGCTCTGAGCCACTATTTATGAAGTTCAGCTACCCAGCTGGGACTACATGGAGAAAGAGGCCTAGTTGAGCCTTCATATGACTCCAGCCCCAGCTGTCATCTGACTGCTACCTCAGTCGTGACAGACCCCAAGTGAGACTAGCAAAATTGCCCAGCTGAGCCCAGTCAATTCACAGAACTGCGAGAGATAATAACATGATTGTTTTAAGCCACTAAATTTTGGAGAGTTTGCTGTGCTGCAATATATAACTAAAGGACAATTTGGGATTTTAATTGTCTATGAGTTTGCTTACCCTGCCAGACTATTCCATGAAGGCAGGGGCCACATCCAGTTTTTAAAAATTGTTATATACTCAGGACATTCCCCAACACAGAATAAGGTCTCATATATTTGATGAATGCAAATTAAGAACATCTACAGAATGAAGGCAACAACAAATGTCTAGAATATTCAGTGTGTTGACTATACAATGATATCAACAAAAGGTGATTAACTGGACATCTGGGCAGTAAGTTCCCAATGTAAGTAGGATAGCTTACCTTTATAGAAGGATTTGCAGAGCAACCTTGGGAGCAGAAGAGAAAGGCTAATGGTTTGGGCCTGGAAGTTCAGGCCAAGGAAAAGGCAAGGGAACAAAGGTTTCATCCCCGATAGTACTCCCCTGGGCAGCACTAAATAGGTGATCTGGCATATCAGTGAGGACTGCAGCTGCCCTCGCCAAGTACCCCTCACTCACATGGTCTGTTAGTGTTCACAGGCTTCTAGCGACAAGAGACACCGAAATGCCATTCTACAAATAGGACTAGACATCATCTTCAAAATTTTTCAACTCACTTTAAACACAGAGGGCCTTCAGTGTATGTGGAACGAATACATTTCTGCTCAAATCAATAAATCCCATGACTGAGGTCTGGTGGTCCTGTCTGAAATAATCATCAGCACAAAGTGTCTAGTCAACTCAGTGGGTATCTTTCGAACACCTTCTGTAGGTTGACAGTTTGTGTCAAGCCTTCTGTGGGACACAAAATGGGAAAATGCCATCCCTGCCCTGAGGGAGAGAACAGGGGAGACTAGACTTACACAAGTGAGATAATTAAATAACAAGACAACATATAATTACTGCTAAATTGTGTGGTAAGAAACTAAGTGCTACAGGAATTGGGAAAAGTGGAGAATAGCAAGGGCTAGAACAGTTGAGGAGTTGTCACTAAAGAAATGGAGGTGGCTGAGCCTTAAAGGAATGAAACCAGCTCTCCCTCATCTCTCACTGAAAGGAAGGAGGCAGAAGTTCTTAGGAGGAAGAAGAGACCTGAACCAGCACGCTTGTTAATTTACTTTGATGCAGCAACACAAGGAATGTGAAAGGTGGCTGCCCCAAATTCCAAAGCGAGCATATTTCTGAAGTTTCCCAATATTCGCACTTCTAGGCCTTTATCAGTTTCTTGTGCTTGCAAGCCTTTTTCCCTTCTCCCTTCACCTGGTGAATTCTTACTCGTATTTAAAGGTCCAGCTCAAATGCAACTCCTTTTCTGAATTCTCCCACAGTATCCAATAATCCAGTGCTCATGCTTCCATTGAAACGTGTCTATGCCTTTGGCCTACTCACTTCCTCTATTGCTGCATTAACACCAACTTAAACTTACTAGGCTTTTACTATCTGTTGGGAACTAAACATTTAAAATGTGTTATTCAAGCCTCACAACAACTGCATGAGGTTATTATTTTTCCTATTTTATAGATCAAGAACCCAAGGCTTAAAGTGGTTAAGTAAACTGCCCAAGAATACGAAACAGGAAGTAAGGAGGCTGGGATTGGAACCATTTGTGGAACTCCAGAAAAGAGAGGGAAAGTGAAGTCGCTCAGTTGTGTCTGACTCTTTGGGACCCCATGGACTGTAGCCTACCAGGCTCCTCAGTCCACGGAATTTTCCAGGCAAGAGTACTGGAGTGGGTTGCTTCAGAGGCCACTCTTAAAATACTAGACCATGTCTTCCTGGAGGCTATAAATGCCTTTTACTCAACAGTCTTCTCAGATTCTAGGACGGAGGCTGACACATGGCTCAAAATTTGCAAAACAAATCAATACACCTGTCATAACACATGCCTGGGTCTAAAGGTAGGTACCCCCCCTCCCCCCAGGTACTCTTTTACTTCAGATAGAGACTTCCACCAACCCAGAAGTCACCTGCCAGGGAGAAAGGTGGAGGGAGAAAGTGTGAGCAACTTACATTTGAATTTGAGATCCTTTATTTCATGGATTCAACTGTGGGAAAAGAGGATTGATTCTTTGCCTAACAAAAGAATACACAGATAACACTGGCTTAGACTGAAGATAAGAGCTCTGATTAACAGGCGGCTAGGAGGGGGCCAGTCTCCTCTTTGAAAGCAGCAATTCAAACCAGAAATTTGTTCCTGTCAAACCAGGAAGGAACAGGCGAGATCACTCCATCTGACCCTATAATGGGGCAGACGGAGGCACTGACAAAGGAGGGGCTCGGCCGGAGGCTACACAGTGAGACAAAGCGGAGCCAGAGCCGAACCGGAACCCCACGTGCAGTTTTTGATCTCCCATCAAGTCGACCGGGGTCTGCAACTCCAAGCTGATGGCCTTGGTCGGAAAGCTCGGACTACTGTTTTACTCTGACGCAACCTAAGGCTCCTCTCCTCCACCCACTAGGTCTGGTGTCTCCCACCTCCTCCAGCCTTGGGGCATGGGGAAGATTGGTCCCCCTCGAGCCTCCAGGGGTCTGCAAGGTCGTCAAGCACCACGGAGGCCGCTCTCGCCCCGCTTCTCAACGGTCGTTTCTGAGGCGGTTCAGCTTCGCCACCTGCCACCCCGTGTCTCTGTGTGATCTTTCTTGTGCAGCGAGCAAATGACTCCTCTTCTACGGGATGCTGGGCCCACATCCCCGTGCCCTTGCCGCACTTCACCTCTCTGCTACCCCCAAATACGCCTACACCCCCACTTCCTTTCGCTGATTGCCGTCCTTCCGGCTGGGCTCCCTTCTAATTGGCTGGCGGCAAGCTTCCTAAGGGACTCGGCCACTCGGAGGGCGCCACAGCGGCCACTCTAGCCGCTGTCCCGTGGTTTGGCCTCCCTCTTTCAGCCGCGAGCTCTACGGTGCTGGCGACGACATGTGGCGGCTGCCGGGACTCCTGGGCCGAGGTAAGGGCCGTCGGAGCCCCGGGTCTTAAATGGTACCTGAGACTTGGAACTGAGGAGGTAGTGGCCAGGAGGACCAAGCCAAAAGCAATAGTGGGCGGTGCTAGAGCGGAGGAGAGGCAGCGTCTTAAGGGGCGGGGCTACAATCTGTGTCAAGGGGTCTTTGGAGTTTGAGGTGTGGCTAGTGGGAAGAAGGTGGAGCGTAGAGCCTAGGAGTTGGTGGAGCTATTGGAAGGGGAGGAGTCAGGTAACCGGAGACTGTGCGCAAAGTCCTGGAAAGATGAGCAGAGTAGGCGGAGCCAATGGAAAGACGCGAGATTTATGGAGACGAGGAGCGCCAAACTGAGCGAGAGTTTCTGTTTGAATGAATGGTCGTTTTAGAACAGTGGTTATCAGAAGGGCACTAGAAATCACCCAGGGAGCTTTTTCAAAACAGCTCAACCCTGAATGATCCTGGTTTGTTTGGTTCTGGGGTGGCACCCTGGAATCTGTTGTAGGCAAAAGATTCTTACGTGTATCCTTGTTAAAGAACCTCTGCAGAAGCAAGTGCCAGTGTTTCCTGGGTTCCTGGGGTGGGGCTCTGTCAAGGGTCAGAGGGAAGACTGGTGGATACGTCCTTGCCTCAATCCTGTTCATGTCAAAGTGACTGATCCTTGCTCTGTACAGCTCTTCCCCGTCTCCTGGGACCTGGCTTTCGTGGGGTGACCCCCAAGTCCTCCAGCCCAGATGGTCCTCAGGCTACCTCCTCCAACCTGCTGGTTCCTGTGCCCAGTTTTGACAGGTGAGATACTGCCATTCTGTCACCCATGTGCTCCCTAGTCTTCCTCTATCCTCACTTAGGCCAGAACTTGATAGCCTCTGTTACATCTAGGTCCAGCCCCCACTGCCCTGGCCCAGGCACAAGCAGGGGCCCAAAGTCCCATGGATGGAAGGATGCCTTCCAGTGGATGTCTCCTCGTGGCTCCCGGAACACATTGTGGGATGCCATATCATGGGTAAGGCTTCCCCGGTCCTTTCCTTGACCTTCATGGTGGATGAGAATGATCCTTTTTGGAAGTGTAGCCTAGAAAGAAGAGCTAGGGCATCAGTGTGCCCACACTCAAAATTTGAGTAACCTATGGTGTTGGAGCGTATTTGGGGAGATATTGCTGATCCTGTTCCCCCTGCTCCACATGTATATAATCCTCCTTTCATTCAGTAAACATTTATTGAACACCTTCATTAAGTCAGGCATTTTTTGCTAGGTCTTAGGGACATAGCAGAGAACAAGGTAGATATGATTCTTACCTTCATGACACTTCCCAACTAAATATTACTAAATATCAAACTTTTAATTTATTAATAGATTCTCTGTAGATTATCTTATTTAATCCTTACAAAGCTTTACAGAGGAAATATAATATTCATTTTATAGATGAGGAAACTCAGGCTCTGAAAGTTTAGGTAACACTCTTATGAGCACATGGCTATTAAGTAGAAGAACCAGATTTTACTCTGGAGCTCATGCTGTTTGCTACTATGGTCTGTACCTTGGTTGCTGTATCTAGTATAGCTTGTAAAAGCACTCAGTACACATCCTAACCTGTAACAGTTACTTAGTAAATATTTGTTGACTCTGATCTATAAAGGCAGAGGTTTAGTAACATGAGCTGACAGGAGGTCTATCAGGGCAGAATCTTTGACTCTCAGGTTCTGTTTTTTTTTGTTTTGTTTTGTTTTTTTTCAGGTTCTGTTTTTAAGATACCCTAAATGAAGTTGACACTCACATCATTCTCATGTTCATATTTTCTCATCCCTCTCACTTTCATGCTGTGTACTTTGGGCAGGAGGTTTGACCTCTCTGAACCTCAGGTGTTTAACCTTTAATTTGGTGTCATCAGCAAAGCTGAGCCTGGAATGTCTCCACACCAAGGGCACTTCTCTCTGGGGGAGCTGTGGCCTAGGGGCATAACACATCCTGGAGAGGCTAGTGTTTTCCCATTTTGTCAATGATATGAACCCTAGGGTGATCCTGTAGTGAGTCCTTCTAGAAACTGGGTCTGGATCTCAGGGGTCCTGATATCACTCCTGAACTCTCTCACTACTGCCCATGTGAAAAAGCCTGACCTTGTTTATTCAGGCACTCACTCATGCATCTATTCAACATTTATTTATTAGTGCTATATATATTAGGTGCCTGTATCTACTAGATTAGATAGATAGATAAGTCTGTATCTACTAGACTATATCTATGGTCTACTAGGAATACATAGGTGAGCAAAACAGACATGGTTCCTGCCCTTGTAGTGCTTAGAGACTAACAGGAGAGACAGACCTTGATGGATAATTGCAGAGATGACTTTAAGTACCAGTGTGATCTGCGTTCCACAGGGGAAGTTTGGGTGCTTGTGAGAGTGTGTAGTGGGCAAGCGGCCACAGCCAGAAATCAGGAAAGGCTTATCAAGGGAGTGACATTGGACTGTAGGAGTTGATTGATGGAGAGCTGTGTCCATCATATGCTGTCTCCCCCAGGGCACTCTGGCCGTGTTGGCCCTGCAGCTGGCGAGGCAGATCCACTTCCAGACGTCGCTTCCAGCAGGACCTTGGCGAGTGGAGCACTGCTCTTGGTACAGTCCGCTGGACCGCTTCCTCTCATCTCCCTTGAGGCACCCTTGTTCCTGTGAGTTCTCAGTCCCAGGGATAGGAGGGCTGGGCTGGGACTGGGCCAGGAAGCATCTCTGGACACACCTCAGGAAAGAGCCATCAGAGGCTCCTTGCCTTTCCTATCTGCAGTCAGAGGAAGGGGAATGGGAGGAAGTTCTATCCACCCAGGGTGTGGGCCACACCTGCCTCCAGGGTCCTCCCATGTCCTCCCCTCACCTTCCGTGGAGGGAGCCATGCAGGGGTCCAAATTCTAGGTATGGCTCCCTGCCCAATTCTCAGCCAGTTAGGTTATTCTCTGGTTAGTTAGTCATTAAAAAGTGAATCTTTGTGGTGGTGGCTTTGTTACTAAGTTGTGTCCAACTTTTGCGACCCCATGGACTATAGCCCACCAGGCTTGTCTGTCCATGGGATTTTCCAGACAAGAATACTGGAATGGGTTGCCATTACCTTCTCCAGGGGATCTTCCTGACTCAGGAATCGAATTCTGGTCTCCTGCATTGCAAGCAGTACCCCTGCATTGCTGGTGGATTCTTTACCAACTGAGCCGCCTTATTGAATGGCTATCATGTGCCATGGTACAGAGGCAGTGCAGTGCAGTGTAATGGTTACAGGTCTAGAGTCACATTGTCAGGATTCCAGCCCAGAACTGCTGAAACTAGTTTTGTGTCCCTGGACAAATCACTTAAAAAACAAACTTACTTATTTTTAGCTGTGTGCAGTACTCAGTGCCCTAGAGCATGTGGGTTCTTAGTTCCCAGACCAGGGGTCAAATGTGTGTTCCCTGCATTGGAAGGTGGATTCTTTTTTTTTTTTTTGGAAGGTGGATTCTTAATCACTGGACCACCAGGGAAGTCCCTGGATGAGTCACTTAACTTCCCTGTGCCTCAGTTTCTTCACCTGTAAAATGAGGAAATAATAAAACACACCCCATAAGTTTCTTGGAAGGACTAAATGAGTCAATACATGTGGAGAACTTAGAACAGTGCCTGGCATGTAGTAAGCACTCAGTAAGTATCACTTTAAGTTCTTGCCTTTATTATTATTACTACAATCATTATCAATATTACCATCAAACCAAGTGCTAAGTGCCAGGCTAGAAGAGTGAATAAAGTAGATGCCCCCCTGTGGCTGAAAGAATTGAAGCCGAGGAGAGATTTATGCTTGAGGGATGTGGGTATCAGCAGAAATGTGGGCCCCTTTCCACCCCAAGGGAAGGAAGCCAGCCAAGGAAATGGAGGAGGAGGCATATGACGGACATTTCTCAGGAGTTTCCAGATTCTTCCTTTGGTCCCTAAAATCTCAGGGAGGGCTCAGTCAATCCCAGTAGGGTGAACTGATCCCCTTCTCTCTTTTTTTTAAAAATTTTATTTATTTGGCTGTATCACATGTGGGATCTTAGTTCCCTGACCAGGGATCAAACCCACACTCCCTGCATTGGAAGCACAGAGTCTTAACCACTGGACCGCCAGGCAAGCCCTGAACTGATCCCCTTCTGATGTGACTGTTCTCACTGGCTCTTTCTAGCACTGCGGAGACACATTCTGCCTAGCTCTGATAGCCCAGCTCCCAGGCACACTGGCCTCGGGGAACGCAGACTGGGCCAGGAAGAACCCTCCACTCAGCCCAAGAGCATCTCTTCACCCAGCTCCTTGAGAGCAGCTAGGCATCAGGATCCCTCTGAGGAAGGTATGGCCCCAGCTACTAAAAGCAGAAGGCTGTGGCGGGGTGGGGTGGGGGTGGGGAATTGGGCAGGTGGACTTTTGTTGCTGCATATGCCAGCTAAGGGAATTGTCATTCTTGTGAGTCCTCATGCTTTCTGGGGCAATTTGGAATTATTTTGGGTTTTGGCAATGGTGCTGGCTGGAAGGCTGGGGGTACTAGGAGAGTGGGAGAAAAAAGAAATAACACCTTCCTCCTTTGCCTTTCCCTCACAGATCCCAGTGACATCAGCTTCCTGCACGCCAGCAGTAGCTTCAAGTCCAACCCGAAGCCGGCCCAACCTCAGCCCACTGACGAAAAGCAGGTATTGTCCAGATGTGGCCACCTGGATCCCCATAACATTTCCCTAGACGGGCAGCACTCCCAGGGAACTGTCCCATGATGAGTCTATGTTTCTTCCCCAGGAACAAGAGAAATCAAAAAGTCTTTCCCTCGAGGAGGCCGTGACCTCCATTCATCAGCTCCTCCAGCTCAGTGTTTCCATCGCTTTCAACTTCCTAGGTAACTGGGTGGACTCTGCCTCAAGGAAGGCAGATGGGGAAATGGGAAAGATATGGGGTAGGTCAAATAAGGTCAGGGCAGCGAATGGTTTAATAATAACATAAACAAACATGAGAGAGTTTTTTTTCTCCAAGGTATGTTGACCAAAGCTGGCATAATGGCTCAGTCATGTCAGGGACCTATTCTCAGTCCAGTGGTTCTGCCATTCTTAAAACAGGCTAAAGGTCCAGTTTGCCTCATATGCAAATACTAGCCAGCTGGAAGGGGGAAGGTGAGAAAGCTGAAGAACCACTCCTTCACAACTTAGAAGTTGCACACATTATTGTCCAGAATGAAGACTTGAAGTTATATGTAGTCTCAGAGGAGCCTGGGAAATGTAGTCATTAGTTGAATGACCATATGCTTACCTGGAAATTCTGTTACTGTGTAAGAAGGAGAAAAATCTTGGGATGACACTTTGAATTTTCTGCCACACTTAGGCAAACACAGTCTTCTGAGGTTTGGTGCAGGCCCTCAAGTGCCCTTACTTACCCACATTTGGAGACCCAGATACCTGTCCAACATTTGTCCTATTCTCCACAGTGACTTGGCTTGTTTCAGGCCTTCTCATGTGGAGACCCAGATCCCAGGCAGCATCTCTTGGAATGTAATGGGCCTGTGGGTGAAAGGCTGGGATTCATTCAGTACAGATGTATTAAGCAGTCACCTTTGCTAAGCCCTGTTTTAGTTGTTGGAGACACGGTGATTCACAAAACGAAGTCCTTACTCTCATAGAGCTGCTGTGTGAGTTGAGGGAGAGAAAAACAATAAATTGACAAACAAAAAAGAGAATTTCAGTTGATGATAAATCTAATGGAGAAAATTACACAGGGGGATGCATTAGTGACTTGGGCAAGCAGCAGCTCTGATTTGGAAGGCCTTGACCTGACTGAATCACAGATGGAAAGATCCTTGACCTGGCTGACAAAAATAAGCCAGTCTTGTTTCCATTTGGAGAAAGCTTTCCAAGCTGAGGGAATAGCAAGTGCAAAGGTCCTGAGGCAGGATTGAGTTTTGTTTGTTTAAAGGGAAAAAAGCGTGAATGTGGCTGGAGCTCTGGGATCACCAGGAGACTAGAAAGAGATGAAATTAGAGAAATAGGCAGGGGCCAGATCAGATCAGACCTTCTGAGCCACAGTGGGTGAGACAGAAAGCCACTGGAGGGTTTTGTACTGCAACAGGAAGTGGGCAGTCATGTGATCTGATCTACTTTTTCAAAGATCTCTCTGCCTGTGGAACTTGCCTGGTGGTCTAGTGAGGTCAAGACTCTGTGCTCCCAATGCAGGGGGTGTGCGTTCGATCCCTGGTCAGGGAACTAGATTCTGCATGATTTAAGTACAGCCAAATTAAAAAAAGAGAAAAAAAATCTCTGCCTGCTGTGTAGACAGATGTGGATCATAGGAATGCCAGAAGGGAAACAGGAAACTAGCTTGGAGCTGATGGTTAAACAAAACATGATGGTGACTTGGTCTAGGTTAGAGGCAGAGGAGCCAGTGTGGGGAATGGAGACAGGGTGGGATCCTTCGCCCTCTGGAGTCTCCTCCTCAAGGACAGAGGGCTCTGTGAACCCTCGACAGTGAGTTTTCAGGCAGCCGGGAGGTGACTCATTCACTGCTGGCTGAATGGAACCCAGCTTCCACCTCATAGCTTTTTGTGATTTTTGATGGGCAGACAGTCTTCTGAGAATTTTCTTGCCCATTCCTTCCTTCATATACATATTCATTTATTCAGCAAGTGTTCAGCACTGTGGCAGAGCACAAAGGGAGCGTAAGCCATAATCATATTTTGCATTTGTATAGAGCTTTCACCCTATGCAGAGTTATTTCTTCTACATTCTTTTTCTGCTTCTGCCTCCGGGATTTTACAGTCTAATTGAGGAGACAGGGCTTGTACTCTCGAAACAGTTTAGTTCCTAGAAAAAGGCTTATATATGAAGTAAGTGCCAGAAGAGTGTTTAAAGCCTGAGTGTGGTCTGAAGATTCTAGAGCAGAAACAGGTTGGGACGGCCTGATGATGGAGGCAGAAAAAGGCATCCCAGGCAGGAAAAACAGACTTAGAGTTGAGAGTAAGCTGTGCCCAGCCTCTTCCCTGTTTTCCTTTTTGTTCGGGTGATAAAAAGGACACGGGCTTTGGAGCTGAGCTCTCTTATATATTATCTCTCACAGTTTCCTCATGAAGCAGGATTAACAGTATCAGCTGTATCAGTTACGTTATGTTGGTGACAAGCAGCCTAAACCCACTTTGGCTAACCTAAGCACAAAGGGAATCTATTGGGATCTATAGATTCCTGCCAAAGAATCAGAAAGAACAGGAATCAGAGAGGCTCCAGAGATCTAGAGGGCAGTAACTGAGCATCAGTGTCTGCAGAGCACTGGCATCAGAATAACCTGCAGGAGCTGTTCTCTCTCCTTTTGCAACCAGATCAAGATTCAGATTCCTGAGAGAGGGTCTCATTGGTTGGGAAGAGCAGAGGTACATTGATTGACAGCACTAGGGGGAGGGCTGTTCCCAAAGGGAAATTAGGATGCTGTTCCCAAGAGAAGGATGGAGTACAGGAGGGCAGAACCCACGGATGTCTATGGCAAATCAGTGAAATATTCAGAGGATGGAAATACATACATGCAAAGTGTCTAGCACAAAAAAGAAAGGAAGGAGCCTCTGGGTATCTGACTAAGGATGTGGGGAAGTTCACAGAGGAAGCTGTGTTTATACCCTGTGCTTTCTTACAGGGACAGAGAACATGAAGAATGGGGACTACATGGCAGCCTTTTCTTACTTCCAGAAAGCAGCGGACCGTGGCTACAGCAAAGCACAGTACAACGTAGGCTTGTGTCACGAGCATGGCAGGGGCACCCCCAGGGACCCCAGCAAGGTACTGCACCTCCTCCTGCGTCCAGGCCCAATGCGTGTGCTGCATTGCTCATAGTGACCTCCAGAAATGAGCAGGGGGCAGGGCTTGGGAAAGTCCAGCTTCTCTCTCCAAGCCGGGAGGGAAAAATAAATGTCTCCATCTTCTCAGAATTTAAACTCCAAACACAGGAAGGCCAAGGACCTTGTCTTTCTTCTTTGCAGCTATATCCTCATGACCTAGAATGTTACCTTGATTAATGGATTAATTAATTCTAAAAAGTAGGGTAGGCAAAGATGTTGTACATAAGAATGTTATTTCTTAGAATTGTATATGATGGCCCAAAAAAGGGAAGCAATTTGAAGTTCCTCCAATAGAGAATTGGTTAGTAACATCTATGTTGGCCTTAAAAATGATGTACTATATCTATATTTATTTACAGGGGAAGGTATTCATGGTGTATTACTTTTTTTAAACTAGCAGCTTTTTTAACAGTTTTATTTATTTTATTTATTTATTTTTGACTGTGCTGGGTCTTCATTGCTGCATGGGCTTGTCTCTAGTTGCAGAGACCAGGGGCTGCTCTTTGTTGCAGTGCACAGTCTTCTCGTCGTGGTGGCTTCTCTTGTTGCAGAACATGGGCTCTGGGGTGCATGAGCTTCCGTAATTGCAGCTCCAGGACTCTAGAGTACAGGCTCAGTAGTTGTGGCGCGTAGGCTTAGTTGCTCTGCAGTATGTAGGATCTTCTCTGACCAGGGATCGAACCTGAGTCTTTTGTGTTGGCAGGTGGATTCTTTATCACTGAGCCACCAGGGTGTAGTGTTAAGTGAAAAAAAAAAATAGGTTACAAAATAGTGTAATTCTCTCTATCCCTACACACACACACACAGAGATATGTGTGTGTGAATACATATGTAATGTCTCTATATATGTTAATATTATAGCATATGGGGGAAGGCTGTACACTAAAATATTAACAGAGAACGATCTTCAGAAGGCAGGATTTCTTGGAATTTTGTTCCTATTTTTGACTTATTTGTATTTTCTGACTAATCTATTGATATAATGATTATATATTGCTTAATTAAAATAATTTTTTAAAACTTCATTCCAAAAAAAGGCAGCCTACAGAGTTCTCCGTTGACTGGATGTTTTTCCCTTCACCCCAGGCAGTCTTTTATTACCAATTGGCTGCCAGCCAGGGCCACAACCTTGCTCAGTATCGCTATGCAAGGTGCCTGCTGCAAGACCCTGGCTCCTCATGGGACCATGAGCGGCAGAGGGCAGTGTCCATGCTGAAGCGGGCTGCAGACTCAGGCTTACGGGAGGTGAGTGCCATTGGTAGGGTCTTTCCTGGGTACTTGGGTCATGTGGAACTAGGCAGTAACCAGAATACCTTTCTCCTTCCTCCTTGACCACAGGCTCAAGCTTTCCTCGGGGTGCTTTTTACCAAGGAGCCCTACGTTGACGAGCAGAGAGCTGTGAAATATCTTTGGCTTGCAGCCAACAATGGGGTATGAGGTCTCCATATGGAGGCATGATGGGGATCAAATCGGATAAAGGAAGGGATTTGAGAATGGGTACCGTGCTTAGAAGAAAGTTGATAAGAGCATTGGGCCAGCTTCAAGCCTTAACTCTCGCTAACTTACTGTGTGCCCCTTGGGCAGGTCCAGTGGTGTGCTGGTGTCGGGTCACACCAGCGTATAAGAATTGTCGTTAGTTTGAAATCAGCTGTGGGGGGAGCATTAGCACCACGGAATTGCCAAATGCTACACAGCTGGGCTTTTCCCTTTAGAGAGCGAGTTGTTAGACATTTACTAGCATACTACTGAACTGGTCACTTGTTTTCCTCATCTCTAAGACTGGAGTAATAATGCCTGCCTGACCTCCCTACTGCTTCACAGGATTGTTGTGAGGATCAGGATCTACGTGAGATAATAAGTGTGAAAGCACTTTGAAAAGTGCACACATAAAAGGTGTACCATCACAAGGAACTTAGTCCAGGGAAGTCAGAAGACACGTGAGGTGAAGACATCGAGCAGTTTTGGGGGTAGAGGATGTCTGGTTGTCTATGAAGTAGGGATTGGCATCCAGGTAGCATGACCCAGAGTCTGTTCCAGAGAGCATTAGCATAAATAATAGAAGGAAAAAATGTTCAGATAGGTTCAGGAAATACTGAGTTAAACAGATATTTTTAATGCAGGAAATTTCAGAGCTTTATGTCACTGAATCACTGAAAAGACGTCTGTGGGTCTGCTGTATCCTTAAGTGTCTTTGACCAGTGTATGTATTTTTTGAGTTGTATCTTGAAGGACCAGGAGCCCTGATTTAAAGCCAGCAGTGGCCATGTACTAGAATTTCCCTACATAAGAGCTGCTGCTCTTCTTTGCTTTTTGGCCAACATGGTGATGGCTTCGGTGAACTCTTGGGCATCAGAATACTTCTCCTTTTTCACTCTGTTCACTCTGTGTTGTCCAAAGTACCTGCAGTGGTGGCATGCATGCTCAATCATGCCTGACTCTTTGTAACCTCACGGACTTGCCTGCCAGGCTCCTCTCTCCATGGGATTTTCCAGGCAAGAATACTGGAGTGGGTTGCCATTTCCTACTCCAGGGGATCTTCCCAACACAGGGATTGAGCTCACCTCTCCTGCATTGGTAGACGAATTCTTTACCACTGAGCTACATGGGAACCCCAAAGTATCTGCAGTACCTGTCACAAGGGGACCAGTGTCACCAAACAGTACTAGCCTCTGTGCCTGCCTTTCCATGAAATAACTGCAGAGCCTTCCTAGAGTTGGGTGGGCCTCGGGACCATGTGAGGGACCATCCTGGGGACACCCTGGCCTGTGTTAGTCACCCAGCAGGCCAGGTGGAAAAGTACACAAAGGGATGTTGTATAACACGTACGTGCATATCGGCATGGGTATTTTGACCTGACTGTGTTCTAACCTGGCCCGTAGCCATGAGTCTACTATATTTATTACAAAGACTCTGGTCTACATGTTACAGAAACTTTCCAGAAATTTGACTTTAGAAGGCAGAAGAGAAATGGAACCATGATTGGGAGACTGAATATAATGAAAATATTTATTAAGAGAGGGAGAGATTAACCATGCGGACAATGACAAGTATGATAACAATAACACTAATCTAGACACTTGCCATGTACTGACACACTTAATCTTAATCACAGAGTTAATAAGGTTGGTGCTGTTATTAGTCCCACTTTACAGATGAGGAGACAGGCACAGAGACATAGACTGTCATGTCTGAGGTTACACAGCTGGGAAGTGGTGAAGCCAAGACTGGAACTCAGGAATCTGGCTGTACAGACTGGGTTCCTAATGCCTACCTGATACTGCTAGTTCTCAGCGAGAGAGAGAGAGGACCCAGAGCCAAAGGCAAAGGGATAAAAGCGTTTTAACCTTTCAAAGGAGGAGGAACACGTTCTCAGTAACGTAGGCTTTGTAACCATCCAGGAAGGGATCAGGAAGGCATACAGGGCTTGCAGAAGCCCAGCCTCTACCCTCTACCAGGAGAAACAGCTCCTGGCTCTTTCAGGAAAACCTCGGGGCCTGACTCCTTGTGCTCTCATAGCAGGACTGAGTGCCTCTCGTAGACTTCGCTTCTGCACACTTTCAGTACCATCCTCAGCAAGTTTCCACACTGCTCTGGCTGGAATCACTCTGGGTGGAGGGATCCCTGTTTCCTCTGTTCTGGGTCTCTGGCTCTTCAGAGTTGAGATCCCTTGGTCCAGTGAGGGAGTCGGGGCTGGGCCTGACCCTGCGGGCGTGAAGCGCCAGCCTGCTGACTGCTGCACCTTCCTCCTGCCCAGCGTTTCAGTTCTCAGTCCTTCCTGTGTCTGTCCATGTCTTCCTTTAGGACTCACAGAGCAGATACCACTTGGGAATTTGCTATGAGAAGGGCCTTGGGGTACAGAGGAGTCTGGGAGAGGCCATGAGATGTTACGAGCAGTCAGCAGCTCTGGGGAACACGCCCGCCCAGGAGAGGCTGCGGGCCCTCTTCTCCACGGAGGCAACAGGTACAGACGAGAATCACAGCCATCAGGTCCCTCCCTGAGCTCCGTACCCTGCGATAGAGAAGCAGGTGACGGTAGCCTTCTGCCTCTCTGTTACTTCCTGCTCCAGTGGTGTGTACGAGCCCAGCTTTTTGAGTCTGACAGATCAAACCTGAGTTTTAACCCCTGCTCTGTCACTGAACTTGGATTGCATGTACTTGCACCTCTGTTTCTTCACCTCTGAAAACTCATTAGGTTGTTTATGTCCTTTAAGAGTGGAGTCTCTGTTTTCCCCAGTACTGTGGAAGTCCTGTAATCAAATCCCACCAGCCTTCAAAGTCAGATTTCCTGGGGATTCCCAGTCCCTTTGCCAGTTCCGTGGGCTGGGAAGCCTGATGTGGGGCTCAGAACCTTCACAACAGTGGGAGAACTTCTGTGATACAGTTATTTTCCAGTTTGTGGGCCACCCACCTGGTGGGTATGGGGTTTAATATTATGTGATTGTGTCCCTTCCTACCGTCTCATTGTGGCTTCTCCTTTATCTCTGGATATGGGATATCTTTTCTTGGTGGGTTCCCACATCCTCCTGTCGATGATTGTTCAACAGCTAGTTATTGATACTCTCACAGGAGGAGATGAGGGTACATCCTTCTACTCTGCCATCTTGGAATCAATCTCTGGAAACTCACTGAGGATTAAATGAGACGACAGCCAAGGGCTTAGCATAGCCTGGCGCATAGTAGGTGTTGAATACATGGTGGCCTCTCAGATGACTCGTCAGGAGGGACACTATCCTGAGGCTGCCTCCGGGCCCTGACTTAGGGTCTAGGGCTCTGGGAACCCTGCTCACCCCTGACTCACTCTGGCTGACCTGGTGAACAATACCAGGGGAGCCAAGTCCTTCAAGAAACCCTTGCTCCAAAGTAGAAGTCCAAGAACACAGGGTAAGAGTTGCTCTCCCCTCTCCTCACAGCCCCAGCACCCAGCGACCTAGCAGTGAGAGGACTGAAGTCGTTTTCTAGCCCCTCTCTCTGCAGCCTGAACAGGAGCCTGCTGGCAGGAGCCTCTTGCCTGCCACACGCCTCCAGCACAGGGAACCTTGGCCTCCTCTGTAGAAGCGGGCATCTCCGAGCCAGCCCTGGAGCCCCCAGCAGGGCCATCCCCCGACACCCCTACCCCTTGGAAAGGAGTCTCGTCAGACTGGGTTTTGGCTAAGGTGAGATGAGATGCAGTCACCAGGACCTCTCACTGGTGCTGGAAGGAGGGGCGGGCAGGGAGGAGGTGAGATGGCAACAAAAATAGGGTGTCAGTATCCCTTTCTGGTGTGGAAATTCCGTGGGAGTGTAGGTTTTTGAGCCATTTCAAGTACATGGCTAATAGATGACTCCGATCATTTCTCAGAGGCCCACAAATGAGCTGTGGATGCATTCACAGTCATTTCTGGTCTGTGCATAAAAGATTCCTTCATTGACCTGGGGAAAACATTATACTGAAGGGGCCAGAGACCCTGGTCCTCGCCTTGGCCTTTGTCTTTGAGAAATCACTTCCCTTCCCATGGCCTGGCCTCAGTTTCCTCAGGTTCAGACTACATCATTTTTTGCCAGCATCTGATGTGTGTGCCTCCGGTGGTTCACAAGAGGATTTTAGGTAGCATTCAAACTAATATTTTTTTGTTTTAGTATTTGTATTGTTAAGATATATTATAAAATGTGATTAGCATATTATAGTTTCACAGATATTAAAAAATAGTGAATCAAGTTCGAGAAAAACCTTGTGACATTGCATAAAGGGAGCACAGATCCCAAGAGGTGGCAAAAGTCATGCGGTGGTTCCACAAACGCCTACAGCTCAGGAAACGCTGAATCATGTTGCTTTTGTTCATCTCCACTAGATCCACGATTGTCTCCATTTCACCTTTGATTTAAAAGGAAGGAGCTTAGTGTCCAAATGCCTGATATAACTGTTTGACTTTTTCAGGCCTTCACACTTCACTCAGATGAAGCCTGAAGATGAAGCCTGCGAGTTCTCAGAGAGATACCACATCTTGAATCCCAAAGAAGAGGCCAGTTATCCACCTGCCTCCCCAAAGAACCTTAAGTACCTGGCCAGCACAGTCAAGAAGAGGGAAGTGTATAAAGACCCAGGTTCTGGCCACATCCCTTCGAAGCAGTGGCCTGACTCGCTGTGTTGTTTCCTCAACTATAGACCAAGGGCAGCGGTGTCTGCCCTCCTACCCACCAGGGCTGAGGTGGGACATTTCACTGCGAAAGGCCCTTGGTGCACACTCAGGCCCGAGGAGGCAGAATGATGCCCTGTTTCCATGGGTTTGTGAGTCATCAGGCCAGGACTGGGATCCTGTCTCTTGACCCCTGGCCCAGGGCTCTTTTGCACGGTTCTCACTGAAATTTTATGTGAAAGCCTTATTTTTGTCCTGCAGACAGGAGGGAGATTGAGCCCCAGGAGTCTTGGTACCAGAGAGTGTAGATTTCGAGATCCTCATTTGTGAAAGGTTTGTGCCAGAAATGGATGGGAGTTTAATAAAAGAGATGCTGGAGATTATCTCATCACTCTTGCCCTTGAGTATGTTGGGGAAAGCCAGGGAGACAGGCAGGGGAAGCTGAAAGCTGAGGCTCCATTCTCATATCTAAACTCTCCATTAACCAATTTAAAGGGTCTTAAAAGCTTCTCCAAGAGAGCGACATAGAAAAAAATGATTTCTGAGTCAACGCTAATGACTCCAATTACTGAATTTGTGCAAAGCTGTTCCCCGGCTTCTGGATGTTAGCCCAAGTTCAATAGCAGAGATGTGGTTGAGGGTGCAGGGTGGGAGGGACTGAGGACCAAGCCCCTAGGAACTGTTCAAATGGGAAAGACCACCCAGCATGGCTAGCTCCAAGTGGGGAGGATCTGGGGAGGGGAGTTCTCTACATTTCTCTCTCTGCCAGCCGCACCCCCTCCCACTTCTAGTGGTCTCGCCACTGGAGCCCTAAGCTTCCTTCAGCTCCCGCGTCTCCCCTGCTCTCTACTCACTTTCCAGGGTTGCCCTGTACACGGACCTCACCCCGCTGGTCCCCTCCTGTGACTTCCTCCCACAGATGGTTCCTTGGAAGCAGGGACTTTTTCTTTGGATTCCAGTACCCTCAGCACTTAGCATGAGGCTCCGTTGTGCAGGTAAGGGCTCAAGACACACACTGGTTAAAGCTCAGGGTTTGAAGCTAGGCAGCGCACTCATCTCTCTGCCAAAAAAAAAAGTTTCTGTGGTCAGATAAATTTGGGAAACGCTGCACTAGACACCCCCTTTTTATAGATTCACAATATACATCAGCATATTCAAGGTTCCAAGAAGTCCTGCAGTAAAGAACTTGGTTAACCGAGTGCTCCCCTCATAGAGCTGGGCAGAGCCCAGCTCCCCTCAGATAGCTGGTGAGCCTTCCTGGGGTACCCCTGTGTAAAGTGTCACTTCCTGCCTTCCCATGGAGCCACGCTCCCCAGCCTCTTCCCCTCCTTTTGTCCCTGGGGGTTCTCTGATTATCAGCTCCTCTGGTCATGCCTGGGGCCAAGGGGCAGTTCAGACAGTCTGGGGACCCTGGGCCTCCTGTGGTGATGGCCAGGTAGGGCTCTCCCTCCCCCTCGATTGTTACAAATTAAGTACTAATCCAATCTGGCATGCCAGATACAGAGGGGGGATATTTTTAAGCTCCCGTTGTGGAGAGTCTTGAGAGGAATGTTGTCAAGGGACCAAAAATCCTAGGCTGTTTCAGTCCCTGCGGTCTCTGTACAGCCCCAGGGGATGGGCTTCCTTGCAGCCCCTGGAACTGCTGTGCTTTTGCCATTAAAATTCCTCTATTAATGACTCATTGTCAGTGCCCTGAAAGGAAATGTGAGGGGAGGCTAGGGAGGTGGCCCCTGTTAGCAGGGCCAACCTGGGTCCAGATGACCCAACGTTGGAGCCCTGGTGCTCTCAGCAGTGAGCCCTTTGCCAAGGCTCTGCTGCCTCAGTTTCCTTATCTGGAGATGCTGTTTTCAGAGGGCCCTGCTGCTGTGGCTTCCCTGGTGGCTCAGTCGATAAAGAACTCGCCTACAGTGCAGGAGACCCGGGTTCAATCTCTGGTTTGGAAAGATCCCCTGGATAAAGGAATGACTACCCACTCCAGTATTCTTGCCTAGAGAATTCCATGGACAGAGGAGCCTGGTGGGCTATAGCCCATGGGGTCACAAAGAGTCAGACATGACTTACACTTTAACTTTTCACTGAAACTGCAGACACTGTTTGGTTCATTTTACCTTCAGTGCAGGGCATTTAGCAAATGTTCAGTAAATTTCATTCAGTGAATGAGTGATTCTATGCATTATCTTCTCTCCACCTGACATCAGCCAGTGCCAAGACTACCCAACACATAGGAATTGCTTTAAAATATTTAAATGAGTCCGTGTACCCCTCCCCCCACTGCCATTCCTAGTGCTACTTCTGACCCTTTGTAATTACTCATAAATACAAAATGTTTGTTGAATGAATGCTTCTGATCATGCCTCCCACCCCTGACTCACTATATTGTACCCACTTACTCAGTAGGGACTAGAAAATACTGACCTAGTTTCTAGGTGCACACTGCGTGCCAGGCTGAGCCTGTGCTGAAACTTCCCCTCCCCTTCCTGTCTTGCTGTGTTGGGGATTCGGTTCTCTCCAGAGTCCCAAGGGTGGTAGTTGCCATATCCCTCTCATTTCAGTCAGAGCAGAGGTAGGGTCAGTGAGCTGCCAAGCTGAAGTTGGGTGACAGACAGGGAGGCTGCCTGTCAATCTCGAAACTGCCCCCGGGCTCCAAGTGAGCACCGCGTTGTGGCGCTCCTAGTGCTGGAGAATGGCTGACTATTGATAAAAAAAAAATGTGCCCCTGCGCTTTCCAAATTAAGACGACATTTAACCGAGTGCTCGCTAGCTTGCCTGCTCCTTCAGTCTCCCAGGGGACAGAGCCCATCTTGGTGAAAGATGTTTGAGCATGTCCAAAGCCTCAGCTCTGACATCTCAGCTGATGTCAAGAAGTTTCTGTAACCTTTCCGTTCAGCACACTCAGTTCTATCAGCATATGCACTGTCTCACTCTCAACTGTTTCTTGGGGGAAAGGGCTGGCATCAGACCTTGGAGGGGTTGCAAGTTTTGGGCAAGAGCACCAAGGCTCACCAACATACACCCCAGCCCTGATCAAAGGTCGGTTGCCTCAGAAACAGCTCTACCTACAAGTTCTCCAGATTCTGTGGGGAATCGAGGATCACAGTGGTCCTTAATCTTATTTAGGTCACAGACCCCTTTGAGAATCAGATGAAAGCACTGTCTCCTTCTCATGGAAAAGTACGCATCCTCCCAATTTTGCATGCCATCCAGCAGATCCTTAGATCCCAAAGCTCGACCAGGAACCCCAGGTTAAGGACCCTTGATATATCAGAAAGAACATCATCTGAATTTCAGATGTAGAAGCTAGCTCTGCCACAAGCCTGCTGTGTGGCTCTGGGCCAGTCAGTCCTTTCTGTCTTGCTATTTCTTGGCAATAAAGCATTCCGACTCCTTGTGATTAAAACTGCCTGTCTGTGGAGGTTTAGTGACTTAGAGCAATGCTGCTTACCGTTTTTATAGGTCACATGTTCCTTTGAAAATCTGATAACTCTGTATCTTCTGCCTAGAAAAAAAGCCTGTACACAAAGTTTTGCCTAGTATGCAGGGGTTCTAAGGACTACAGATTTAGGTCTTTTGAACTAGAGGGAGGCAGTGATCCAATTTTGAGCAATGGTTCCAGTTTCTTTAGGTCATCTCCTCTTCTCATCTCTTCTCTCCATCTCCCAACATCAGCTCTGCACTGAAAATCCACTAGTGATTGGGGGTCAGCACTGTCTACTCCAGTGCTATGGTTTTCAGACTGTTTTCATGTAATGGAACCTGTTTTTTTTTTGTTGTTTTTTTTTTTTTCTCTCTTTTCTAATGAAGTCTTATACCTGGAGCTCCAGTATAGAGAAAAGGGAATCCTGTAGCATTTCTGTACCCACTGTTTCATTTTTTTCTTCCATTCAACAAGTATTCATCAAGTGTTACCTTGGGCTAGGTGCCTTGCTGCTCAGATTGGAGACCCTACCTGCTTGGTGTCCCCCAGCCTCTTTCATTGGCTTGGGGAACCAAACAGCTTGCAAATCACAGATCTTGTAAAGAGCTTATTCTGCCCTGGAGTGAGATGTCAGAGACCAAGAGACCCTGCTCCCAGAGCTCCTGAAGAACTTTGGGGGCCCCATTTTATTCATCTGTAAAATGGGATAATGGAATAATCATGCCTCACTACATTCCAAGTATGGATGATTTTCATTATCCCTAGATGGGAGTATGGTTGGCACCTTTCAGTGAACAGTGTTCTAAGCTCCGGAAAAGGACGAAAGGAGAGGCACAGAAATTTTTTCTTTAGTATCAGGGGGAGCCTCCACATTGTTGAGAAGCTGAATAGACTGAACCTTGGGAAAATATTTTGCTGTTTTTTTTCATCCCGTCCTCCCCTGGAAGGTTTGCTGCTGTCAGCGTCAATTTCATAGACCCAGTTCACACACTGTCCTCTAGGGCCTGAATTCACTGCTGTGACAGAGGAAGGTTTACCCACAATCAGTGGGTCTGGAAAGATGACTTCTGCATCTGAAGGGCTGCTTGCTAGGGAAGGACAGGAGTCTGCAGAGGCCCAGCCTGCATTAGGTCAGTGACAAGTCCCTCTCATTCTGTGATCGGAAGAGCAGAGATGTGCAGCCTGAGAGGCTTTGGAAATATACTTTTCAATATTTTTCCTGAGGGGATTTCAGGCAAGTCCACTCTGGCAAAAGCCCACCTGTGGTAGCTCTTCCTTTCTTTTCCTTGGCTGGCAGTCTAGTGCCAAAGTCGAGAGCACGGGTATTGGTGTTGGACAAGCCTAGTTCCAATTTCTGGCTCTGCCTCCTTTCTCTGCTTGATCTTGGGCAAGACACGCAGCTTCTCCCAAGTCTCATGGCCTTGTATGTGAAATGGGGATAATAACACCTCCCCTCCTCAGGTTGTGAGGAAATGAAATTAAATCCTATTGTAAAGACTGGTGCCTGGCCCCTGTTAATACTCTATAAATACTCATGCTTTTCTTAGCTTTAATTTTCAGCTGGGAAGCGGATTATTTGGTACTGCAGCAATAGGGGAGTGACGGTCAAGTGTACCTGTGCCCATCACCGCTGACCTAACACTGTGCACCCTCCCATCCTGGCCCACAGTGACGCTCCGGCCAGTGACTGGATGACAAGGGACCCTCACTCTACTCTTCCCTCCTCCCTGGCCCTCCTGACAGGTGCAAACAGGGTAACCACCCACTACTTTTCCTTTATTAGTAGGTCAGAGAGCTTTGCCTGGTGCCCCAGGACCCAGTCCCCAACCCTCCAGTGTGCAACCAGGCCCTCCTTCCTGCTTGGGATGCTCCTTGGCATCTGTTTTGCAAAGAGGATTAACCCTCTTGTGCTCTTCTTCCATGTGTTTTGCCAGCAAACACTTAGCCACAAACTGCCTCCCTCCTCCAAAAATTCCACCGGTAGAGCCAGCACTTAACATCGGGTTGCTTTGGTCAGCCAGCTCTTTGTCCTGGGGCTCCCGCCTGCTCTGTGGGGCAGCCTCCGTCACCCTAAAGTTCTCAGGCCACCTCTGGTCAGTGAGTTCAAAGATTAGAGACACCAGTTCCTGTCCCAGAATCCTCAGGGCCTGGGCTTCCTAACATCTCCCGGGGTCCCTGGTTCCTGGATCCACTGGCCCCTGCTGCTGCTGCTGCCACTGCTGGTCCTGCTCTCGGTCCCCTTGTTTCCAGCTAGGCCCGTGGGGCCTTCGGAGCCCGCGGCCCCGCTGGTGGCCAGGTCTAGACTGAGGGTCCTCCCGCAGACGGAGAGCCGCCGCAGCACCTCAGAGGCGGCCTCCACCGGCACGGTGGGGCGCTGCTCCAGCAGCATCTCCAGCAGCGAGCTCATCTCCGACAGGAAGGTGCTGGCCAGCCGCGTGCCTGTAGGGCTCAGCTCGGGCGCCTTGCCGAATGTCTGGAAGGTCCTGGGCTCCTCCGAGGTCGCAGAGTCCGGGGAGAACACGTTGTCACGGTAGTTGGTGGAGAGGGGCAAAGAAAGTCTTGCCATCCAGGCCGGGTCAGGGACGCTCAGCCGGTCCAGGGCCAGGCCTGCAGAGGGCGAAGGGGACGCGGTGAGGGCGGAGCCCCGGGCGGACGGGCGGGGCGCCAGACAAAGGAGGGAAGGGAAATGGGGGGGACAGATGGGGCGGCCGGAGGGGGGCGGGAAGGAAGAGGCCCTGACAGGGAAGCGCGCCGGGCAGGAAGGCAGCGACTGAGGTTCGCTCGTGAGCTGGAGTGGGGACGCGGCCGCGGGAGGAGGAAGGCCTAGAATTAGAAATTGGCCTCTTTCTAAAGCATCTCCCAGTCTCCGGGGGCGTTCCGGGTTTAGGTGGCCTCCATCCATCCCTGAACAGCAGGATTTTCACTCCCTCAGGACAGACACCACTAGCTGAGCATGGGGGTGCTGGAGGGATTCCCCTTTTTAGCTAATGCTGTAGTTCCTGGCTTGGTGCTGCCTTCCTTTCCTATTCATAATAATAACATAATAGTGACCGCTTATTAAGTGCTTCTGTGCCAAGCAACTTACATAATTATCTCATTTAACCTCCACACACACCTTTGAAGTCAAGAGTATTTTATGGATGAGGAAACAAGTTCCAGGAAGTTCAGTCATTCATCTACTAGGCACCCAAAGCCAGATTTGACCCACAGGTCTGATGATTGGAAGCCCCCTGTAACTGTACCACTGAGACCCACTGTCTGGAGAACTTGCCCTTCCTTTCTCCCTGGATGCTAGGTGCTCACCTGTGGTTCTGGTTTCCCTGGCCTGCTAAGGTCTGTACCGTCACTCGCTCTCAACACCACATGCTCTCGACACTGCAACCTTTGCCTCTCAAGCTGCAGGAAACCCTGTGAAGGGGCTGGCCGCCTAAGAGCTGTCCCAGGAAAGGGACGGGGCAGTGAAAAAGTGTCCCCCTGACCCCAAATCCCACCATCACACTTCTCCTTTTGCCATCTCTTCAACAGAAAATCCTGTCTTAGGAAACCAGTCCCAGGCCCAGTGATAGAGGCCAGGGAAGAGGAGACAAAGCATAGGCCTTGTGGTTAAGCATCTGTATCTTAAAAAAAAAAAAAAAAAGCACAACATTTACTTTAAAATGTATTTAATACTTAAGGTGAGCCGGTTTAAAATCTGTGCATAGAGTGAAAGACTGGAAAGGGATAAGTCAAAGTGTTAGCTGAAATTGCCCCGGGCAGAAATGATTTATTCCCTTTTTGTTTATCTACATTTGTCTCTATTAACCAAATATTACTTTTGTGATTTTGAACAGTTATTCCAAAATACAGCTAAATGCTGTTTCTATTGATAAATGAGTCTTGTTCTTGCCTTGTCAGTGCGGGGCTAGGCAGGCTGTGAGGCAGGGTCATCCCCCTTCCAACTGGTCCAGCCCATGCCCAGGGCTTAGTGAATGTTTATTGAATGATTGAATGAACATAAATATTAACCCTGGACATTTGGGAAATGTAAACCTTAGTTCCCTGAGACTCTGGGGTAATAAGGTTGAAACTCTTCTGGTGTTACAGAATCAGGCTTTTCCTTGTACAAGGGTCAGAGAGCTTCAGAAGGAATGAAGCTTAGAATGAGAAAATCAGTGGAGTGTAGGAGAATGGCTGAAACATGATGGTGAATTCACTCCGAGGCAGGTGGGCACTGGGCAGACCAGGGTTTGACTTCCTAGCTTTGCAGCTTATGAGCAGTGTGAACTTGGAAAACTTGCTTAATCTCTCTGAGCCTCTTTTTTTTCTCTTATAAAGTGGTGAGATAGTCACACTTATCTTGTAGGTGGCTATGAGGATGCAATGAGCTCATGCCGCCAATAAAATATGATCCTCATCACATCCTCCGGTGGGGCTTTTATCTGGTGCGGCTGAGACCCCAGTGTCGGGCACATTCACCAGTAGCCCCATCACGGTCCACCCTGTGGGCAGCGCAGGCTCTGCTACCGTTGCTGTGATGTTCGTTCCCCGACTTGTTACCATCCTCCTGAGCTCCTCGCCCTCTGTGCGATGAGGAATCGGGACCCCGTGGGAACTAAGCCCACAGGTTCCCGCACAAAGCTGGGGCAGAGAGCTATAACACCAGCACTGAGGTTATCTGAAATTTTCTAATAGCCAGATTTAAAAAGTAAAAAGAAAAGGTGAAATTAATTTATGTAAGTTTTTACATTTAATATCATTTTATCATGTAATTGATATTTTAAAAATTATTAATGAGATGTTTATTTTTTTATACTAAGTCTTCAAACTCTGGAGTGTGTTATACTTCTATCACATCTCAGCTGGTCCAGCCATTTTCACACATGGCTATTAGTTATTGGAATGGACCTCATAGCTCTACATTCTAGACAATGCAGTCCTATAAAGTTCTCTGTATTTGTGCTGTCCAAAGCAATATCCATTAGCCACATGTAGCACTGGAAACATGGCTGGTATGACTGAGGAACTGAATTTTTCATTTTACTTAATTTTAATTAGATTTCATTTTACTTAATTTTAATTTAGAGCCACACTGCCTGGGTTAATAACCATAGGCTACACAACCTTGGGAAAATTATTAAAACCCTGGCCCCTCAGTTTTTTTTTTTTCTTTATGAAATGGGGATAATGAATAGTCCCAATCTCAGAAGATTTTCTCATGAGGCACTTAGAAGAGGAACTAGCACACAGAAAGCACTCAATAAATGTTAGCTATATTTTTTTAACCAAGGAAAGGGAAATCCCTGCCATGCCTTCAGCACACAGAATGTGTCCAGATGAGAAATAGATTATTAACTATGCCACAGAAAACCACAGCGTAGGTCAGACTTAGTGTGTGTTACTTGAAGGAGGCTGACTGATGTGTGTTGGGGGGGAGGTGTGGGGGTGCTAGCAGATTCTTGAGTTCTCATGGTAAAGGGATCTTCAAACACATTAAAGAAATGCAGATGAGTGGTGTAGGAAGTAAAGAGAGGTCCCCTAATGGTAGGTGGGCCCAGGTTGACTTCCCTTCCATCACTGATGAGCTAGGTGATTCTGGGCAGGCTGTGTTACCTTTCTGAGCCTCAGTTTGCTGATTTCTAAGTTGGAACTCCTAATGTCTACCTCAGAAGACTGTGTGGAAGCTTAACTTGAGATAGTGCCTACAAGATGCTTCCTTAGTACCTGGCACACACCAAGAGCTCAGTAATTGTTCACTATTCTTTGATGACTTTTTAAATGCATAATCGAAGACAAATCTGGCCTTTAAACAAATGAAGACCTAAAGCTCCAGGGGAAGTAAAAAATGTTGCTGATAGTCTTCTCCAGAAATAGACTGGCTGTGTTTCCCTGCAGTGGATAGGAGCAGCCCTCTGAAGCCTGGGCACAGGAAGAGACTGTAGGGGCAGAAGTGGGGTCAGGGTGACCCTGGGAAGTTCCTACCTGTGTGGGGGTCCAGGAGGTTTGACAGCTCTTCTTCTAGCAGCTGCTTCACAGAAAGGTCCTCTTCAGGGTCCAGGGGTCCTTCTTCCTGGTCTGGTTCTGCCTGGCCACCAGCCCTGGTGCCTGGGCCATCTGTGTCTGGGATTGCACTCCTGCAAAGGAAGCCAACCCATTCCACCAGTGAGGAAATTCACACTCAAATTCATTCATTCCTGCTTATGAATATTCTGCTATTCATGCCAGCATTCATTCATCTGCAAACTGAACTGGGTTCCCAGCCCAGGCTTCAGAGTCAGACCAACCTGGGTTTCTTGATCCCAGCCCTCTTGCCTACTCTGAGTCTGTTTCTTCTTCTGTAAAATGGGAGCAATAAATAACACCCACCTCACAGGGCACTGTGGGAGTAAAATGAGGTGTCACAGGTAAAGACCTTAGCACAGTGTTGTAAGCACTCAGCAAACAGAAGTGACTGAATGCACAGATATTATTCACCATTGTCCCTCCATTCCTTCTCGTTACCTAGTACAGAGTAGGAGTTTAGTAAACCTTGGTTGATCCAGCGCAGTCACCCTTCCATCACTCCATCCCTCCAGCCAAGTATGAGTTCCAGTGATGGCAGGGTTTTTTTTTTCTTAGTATTTATTTTTATTTACTTATTTGGCTATTCCAGGTCTTAGTTGTAGCATGTGGCATCTAGTTTCTTGACTAGGGATCAAATCTGAGCCCCCTGCATTGGAAATGCGGAGTCTGAGCCACTGGACCATCAGGGAGGTCTCCAAGGGCAAGGATTTTTGTCTGTGTCATTCCCTGCTCTCTCACCAGTGCTCTGAACAGAGGCTGGCACATGGTAGGTGCTTAATAAATACCTGGTGGACTGAATGACTGAATGTTCCCTCCTCCTTGTTTGAGGCTAAATCCCAGACCAGAAGAGCAGGTCAATAGAGGATGCAGCTGAGGTAAGGCATCCCAAAACTACTAAGAGTCTACTATGGGGTCTCTTGCTGTCTCCCTGGCCTTTCCTCCTATGGCCCCTCTCTATCACTGAGGAGGCCAGTTCCTGGGACTACCTCGGCACAGTGGTCAGGCCTGGCTTCTCATCCCAGCATCTGGGAAGGCTCCCCAACAGCCTTTAAAGCCTGGAGTCCTTGCTGCTTTTTCTGTATGGCCATTTCAGCAGGAAGGTGGCAAATTTGCAAGTAATGACAACAACTAATGTTTATTGAGCAATTACTCTGAGTCAGACATATGCTTTGCAAGGTATATTCGCCTTCTCATCAAACCTTTCACTTCTGTAAGGGCTTCTCTTGTTATCATCCTCATTTTACAAATGAGAAAACCAAGACTTGTAAAGATTATGCATCTTGCCCAAGGTTTTCACAGGTTAAGTAATGAAGTCAGATTTCAAAGGCAGGCTGAGGTGACTCTGGAGTGTGTGTGCTCACCCCTACTCTACAGTATTTCTAGCTATTTTTGCCAAAAACCAACCAAACAAAACGACTATAAGTTGTCACAGCAAGAGCACTGAACTGGAAGTCAGTGTCCTGAGAGCCAGCCTCAGCTTTGCCACTCACTGGTCATTTAACCTTGAGGAAATTCACTTTAAGGGGAAAGGACTTAGCATTGTTTGTATACCTCCTTTGTTCCAGGCACTGGGCCACAGGCTAAGAACACTTGTGGTCACTAAATTCTTACCCCATCACTACAAGGAAGTGGCGACCTCCATCTCACAGATGAGAAACTGCAGGCCTGAGGCTTGATCTGACTTACTCAAGTTTACGTAGCTGGGTAGGATCAAACTACTTAGAGCCTCAGTTTCTCCATCTGTAACAAGAGGGAGTTAAATTAGTTGTCCTCTTGAGGTCTCTTTAATTCTAGGACAGCCCAAAGAAACACACCCACATACCCATATCCTCAGCCAGGAACCTTCATATTATATTTAAGGGTCAAGAGCAAGAAGGCCGAATGTTATAGATTTAAAGTCCATAGTCTAGTCCCTCTGAAGTCAGAGGACAGATAGAGCCTCAGGGATGAAGTCATTTCCTTGACTCTGGGTCCTGTAAATACTATTAATACAGTAGCTCCAGGACCAAGCTGTCTGGGTGGGTGGATGGATGCTGTTCGCTGCAGTCTCCCAGGGGAGCAGCATCTGGAATGTGCTCACCTTTCCTTGAAGCACAGAGGCTGCAGGGGTGAGGGCAGGCTGGTGGGGAGGGGGGTTGAGAAACCAGAGATGGGGCTACGTGCTGCTTACCTGCCACTGCCAGGCTTGGCCAAGTACTTATTTCCCCGGTGGTTTGGTTTGGGCTGGAATTGGCCCTGATGCAGCAAGGACAGCAGCTGGGAGATTTGCTACAAGACAGGAAAAATCTGTTGACTCCACACAATTCCGACCCAGCACACTTCCTCACCGGATGTTTCCCTCAATGCCGGCGCTTTCTTTTTATAGTCTTTCCTCCAGCTTCAGATGTTTGTGGATTGGTTGGGGGATGGTGAACAGTGATGGTGACGGAGGCAGGGACATGTGCAGGCAGGTTCCCTGCTTGGCTTTGTGTCAACTACAGATTCCCGGGACCTGGGTGTCTGAGAGAAAGAATAAGGGTCCTCTGGGGGCCCCCATGAGACCTGCCCCCGGTGGACACTGTGAGATGGGGGTGGAAAAGGCATTTCCTGACTATAAATGTATTATTATTATTTTAATAAGGATCATCTTAAAGTGTTGTATCCCCCTCTTCAGCAGTATTCAAACACTTAGCCAATGTTGGTGGGTCAGATGTAACTATGTTATAAGAAGGCAGAGGGTGTCTTTGAATCATTTATTCATCCTTTCATTCATTCGACAAGTATTTAATGAGGGCCTGCTTGTGCCAGGGCCTGTGCTTGCTATGGGAGTAAGAATGAGATCATGGCCCAGTCGCTGCCTTCAGGGAACTCCCAGTCTGCTTGGGAGAACGTCAGGGGAGATAGGGCATGTGGGTTACTATGGGGGGTTACATCGGAGTTGGGAAAGGATAGAGGTCAAGTGGAGCAGATGAAAGCCCCTCACCCAACTTAGAACAAGGAGGGAGTTGTGTGTTGGGGGTGGGGGGGGGTTGTAGCTACAGGGGGAAGTCATTCACTTATTTCAACAAATGTTTTCTCTGTTCATACTGCATCACAGGCCCCTGTACTGAGACCTGGAGTTTCCATAGAGGGTTAGCAAGTGGAGAGAGGGTGAGGGTCTGGGTGAGGGGTGAAAGGTCAGTCAGAAGGTGCTCAAGCTGAAAGGCCAGAGGAGACAGTGGAGTTTCAGAAAAGCTGGTGAATGGAACAGGGGTGGGTGAGATGTTCAGGGCCAGGCCCCACAGGCTCTTATGAGGGAGGCAACAGACTAAGTCAAAGTCCTTTCTAGCTTGTGTGATGACAGGCAGGTTTTTAGTCGTACTCAGATCTCAGTTTCCTCATCTCTAAGGTGAATCTAAAAATACTACCCAGCCTCCTTCACAGGCTTTTCAGGAATAATTAGGTGGTTTGAAAGTTTAAAATACTCCACAGAGTCCAGGGGTTTGGGCTGTTACTCCTAGAAATGTTGTATCTGCCTCCCGGGCCCAGATTACCTCCCCTCTGAGGAGATCCCTCCGCCCTTTGGGCAGCTGTGACAGAAAGGGCCGACCTCAGAGGAGGTCTGGAAGAGGAGGTGGCTGGGACTGGGGTTTCACTGTGACTTGGGAGTGTCAGGGCCCCACTGCCCACCTCAGGGCCATTCCCACCTGCTGGCCCAGGCCCAGAAGCCCTCCTAAAGTACCTGTCTCCCTTTTCTTGAGTGACAGCTGATACTTCAGGGACACTCCCTGAGTGCCAGCCCCTAGGTGATGTGCTGTCATTCAGGTCATTTCACAGCTAGAGTCAGACTCGAGTCAGACTCAGGTTCAAATCCTAAACCTTCCCCTGCCCCATTTCCCATCCCACCTTAAGGAATCCTGAGGCTCAGTGTCCTCAGCAATAAAACAGGTGATAATAACAAGACCCAGGTCATGTGTTGGTTGTGGATATGAGGATTAAATGAGTGAAAGTCTATAAATCACTTAGTAATAGATCTCAGGATAAGCACTTATTAACTGTCCAGTGGTATCTAATCTCATGTCATTCTTTAGTAACCCAAGGAAAAGGATGCTATTATACCTATTTTGCAGATGTGGCACCTGAGACTCACAGGGGCTATCTAGCAATTAGAGGCAGGGCTGGATGGAATTGGAACCCAGATCTGACTCCACTGCAGCACTATGCTATTGGAAAGACACAAGCATTAGGCAAGCTGCCTCTTACCCTTAAGTCGATCTCACCTGGGTGCCCTTCTTTCTTTCAATATGGTCACCCACTGGGCCTGCTCTCTGCTGTCTCTGGCAACCACCAGCACCATATTTGACACAAAGAGTTTATTCAATAAGCATTTGATGAATGAATAAGTGAGTGAATGAATGACTCTGGGCAACACTTCTGGGGCTGCATAGAGCCAGGGCAGGACTCCTGAAAGAGCAGCTGGGCCACCTCCAGGTGGCTTCCTGGGGAAGCGGTGGGGGAAGGAAGCTGTGTCCTTGCTCTGCAGGAAACATGAGCTGATGGCCTGGCTCATGACAGAAGTGTGCCTTGGGCACAGAAAAATGATCTGAGGTTCAGAGGAGTCGATACGGGTGTGAGATCAGGCCCCATCCCGGAAAAAGCTTTCCCATTTGTGTCCAGTAAACCCTAGGTCACTGGACACAGCCATTCATCTTCCCATTTAATCTTCAACCCCCTGGGAGGTAGACACAGGTAAGTTTGGTATCACAACTCTTATCTTATAGATGAAGAAAATAAAATAAAGTTGCCCAGCTCCTAAAGTGACTGTGCCGAAATTTGAACCTAGATCTGCCAAACTCCCAAGTCCCAAGGTTGTTTCCATTGCCCTACCCAGCAGGCCTAGCTGGCAAGCTCTGGGGTCTCAGGCAGCCCCTGAGACCTGGGGGCAGTAATGCCCATGCCAGCTTGCTTCACAGGGAAAATTGCCCAAATGAGATGAAAGCAGGTACTGTTAATCACTGCCTTTGCTGTGTGTCTGCTTGTGCCAGGTGCTCTGAGTAAGTGCTCAATAGGAATTAAGTGACAATTCTGTGAAGCAGATGCTCTTACTGTCATCCCTGCTTTATAGATAAGGAAACTAAAGCTCAGAGACAGTAAGTCATTTGTCCAGGATCACACAGCTAAATTCTTTTGACTCCAGAGCTGAACCACTGCACCCAATGCATCCTAAGGTGCTTGGTGAGCCTAAGGAATGAATGTGAGGGTAATGGGGTCTGATGCTGTTTGTGGTGGTCCAGGGGTGACCAGAGAGAGAGGTACCTGAACAGGAGGCGAATCCACGGTGAGCTCCTCTACAGGGTTCCGCTCCGCAAAGGCGGCCACAGACAGCCGGACCAGGCTCCGCAGGATCTGACGGGGGCCTGACTCTTTCTCAGGGGCTACTTTACCATTGAGATTCCGCTGCCGCCTCAGGGTTGCAGAGGAGGCTGGCGGGCTCTGCATGGCCTCCTCGCTGCCCTGGTCTCCAGGCACTCTTCCTGTGGGGCTGCCCGCAGCCTTCAGGGGCCTTGAGCGGGGCTGGCCTACAGCAGGCTGGGGCTCGGCAAGGTTCAGGTTCTCCCGGGAGGCGTTCCTCTGCCTGGGATGGTTGAAAAGGAGGTTAACAGTGTCCTGCAGCACCTCTCGGCTCTCGGCCAGCGTTCCCTGGTTGCCTTGGTTACGCAGAGTCCTGTACAGAGTCGGTGTGAGATGAAAGGGGGCCTGCAGGCAGGAGTCCCAGCCTGCTTCCATCATTGCTTCCTCGCCCACATGCTTGGGGGGCTGCCCGACTTCGCCAGGCTCATCCACCTGGCCCCTGAGCACAGGCACAAGGTGGATGTCCGCCTTCTGAATGTGTTTCTGAGGCCTCTTGGGCTGGTGACGGTAGGTGGACTCAGCCTCCCGACAGTTGTAGGCCCTGTTGTCCTTTTTCTCCGTCCGGCAGATAGACGTGATCAGAGCCAAGATGGACCCAAAGACGGCAAGCAGTACGACCAGGCAAATCACCGTGAGTACCGATGTGCTCAGGGCCCCTGGCTCATGGGCTGAATCCCTCAAGTGGTCCACACTGGTGACGAACAAGACCTGCAGCAGGGCTCGGGTCTGCAAGGAGGGGCTGCCTTGGTCTTCCACCACAATCTCCAGCTCCCACTCACTCCCAGTGAGGCTGCTGGCATTGGTGAGGTTGATGAACAGCTGCCCCAGGTGGGGGCTGAGGACGAAGACACCGGCTTCGTTCCCACTCCGAATGGTGTAGAGAAGCTCTCCGTTTGCCCCCGAGTCTGCATCTCTTGCTATGATAGTTACCAAAAGGAACGGCTGAGAGCTGGGGGTGGCCTGTAGTGGTATGTCAGTGCCCGCTGGGCCCAGGCCATTGGGATTCTCAATGGGCACCAGCAAATGACCTGTGGAGGCATTTACAAGCACCGAGAGGCTGGCTCTCCCATTACTCAGTATGGGGTGAATCACCTCTGGGGCATTATCATTGACATCCAGGAGGCTGACCCAAACAGAGACACTGGATGTGAGCTGGGGCTGCCCGCTGTCCTCTGCAATCACCAGGAACTCAAAGCTTGCCATCTGTTCATAGTCCAGTGACCTTTGAGCGGTGACCTCACCTGTGTCTGAGTCAATAGCTATCAAGTGAGAAACTGGGGAGTCCTGGATGCGGTATGAGATTTTCCCGTTAACACCCAGGTCTGCATCATGGGCCTTGATGGTGATGAGGTGAAGAGAGGGTAGGTTGTTTTCCCGAGTGGAGACCTGGTACCTGCTTTTCTCAAACACAGGTGCATTGTCATTGGCATCACTGATCTGAATGCTGAGCTGTTCCTTGGCTGATAAGGGCTGGGGTCCTTGGTCTTGGGCCAACAGAGTGAGGGTATATTGGGGCCACTGCTCTCTGTCCAGTGTGGCATTGGTTAGCAGCATGTATGTGTTACCATTGGTCCTTTTCAGCCTGAAGTGGCCCAGATCTTGGCTCAGCCAACAGTAGACCAGACCATTGTTTCCTGAGTCCAGGTCATTGGCCATGATGAGAGCAATGAAACTGTCCTTGGGAAGAGCTTCGGACACCAGCAATGGTTGGGAGGCCCACGTGATGTGGATGCTTGGGACATTGTCATTGACATCCAGAACCTTGATGAGAATCTTGCAGTGGGCTGGGATGGGATTGGGACCCAGATCCCTTGCTTGGACATCCACTTCGTAGGCTGGATTCTTCTCATAGTCTAGGTGCTGGAGCAGAGTCACCTGGCCCGTCTTAGCATCAATACTGAAGGTGTTCAGCACCTCCGGAGGCACGTGCTTACTGAGAAAGTATTCCACCTCCCCATTGGGGCCTTGGTCAGGGTCTGTGGCTGTCAGGTTTATGAGGAGAGTACCAGGGGCAGCGTCTTCTTGGATTTCTAGGGCCAGTGAGCTCTCAGCAAACACAGGGCTATTGTCATTGGAGTCTAGGACGCTGACCTTGACCAAGCTGGTGCCTGACTTGGGGGGATTCCCACTATCATAGGCAGTTAACACTAGATCAAAAAATGAGTGGATTTCCCGGTCTAGCTCCTTCACCACCACCAGTTCTGCGTGTTTTGTCTGATCGGGCCCCACAATGACATCCAGGGCGAAGTGCTCGCTGGGAGACAGGGTGTAGGAGTGCAGGGTGTTGGGGCCAGTGTCCGGGTCCAGGGCTCTGTCCAGGGGGATCCGGGTGCGCAGAGAGGCGCTCTCAGAGATCTCCAGCTCCTGCTCACCTTTGGGAAACTGCGGCTGGTGGTCATTGATGTCCAGCACCTGGATCTCCACGTGGATGAGCGCCCGCTCCCCTGTGGCCAGCACGTCAAAGGATACCAGGCAGGGATCCTGCTGCCGGCAAAGCTGCTCCCGGTCCAACCGCCTCCCTGTGCTGAGCACGCCGTCCTCAGAGTCCACCTGGATGGGGAGTCCCTGGGGCAGCTGTAGGACCTGGAAGGCAGCTCCCGCTTGGCCAGGCCCCTCCTCCTGGCCCCGTTCCTGAGGCAGCTTCCCTATCACGGTGCCAGCCGGTACCTCCTCTGCCACCTGATATCTCACAGTGAGAGTGGCCACCTCCTGACAATCCCCTGAAAGGAACAAGTAGCCACCTGGCCCCAAAAGTCCCAGAAGAAGTGACAGAAGTCGCATCATGCTTACCGCCAGAGTGCGCTAGATCCAGAAACCGCTAGAGACCTTCAGGCTGGGCGAGTCCTCCAGTGTTTCCTGAGGGGCTTGATTAGCCCCGTTCTCCTGCCCCCAGCCCTGTTGGCACAGCCTTGTCCCATCATTAGCTAATGGAACTAACAGAAAGAAAGGCCATCTTCATCAGAAGAGATGTGAAAGGTGCAAGGACCGATGAGGTAAAATTACCAGGGAGGCCCGGTACAGGGGCACTGTGGGTCCCCGTCAGCCAGTGATGGACAAGAGTCGGTCCAAGAGGGACTTGACCCAGTGAAGCAGGATGTGGGGATCTGACTTCCAAACAGTTGCTAGGCCAGGGAAACAGAGAAGCAGCTTTTTCCTATGGAAACCCCACCTACAGGAAAAGGGAGGGCTGTGAGTTTCTATGCCAATTAGAGAAAGAGAGTTTCCGTGAAGCTGAGTGGCCTGCCGCTGAGGAGGATGCGGCTGGGGACAGGCCGGATGGGAAGGTGCTGTCCATGTGGCAAGGCAGCCGCTGAGGGGAGGGGAGCCCCTGCTGTGGCCAAGTAAGCAGAGAGCCTGAGCCCCTCCTGGACGAGTCACGCCTCGGCCTCTCTTCCTTCCTTGTCTCTCCTTGTTTCCTTCGTCTCCCGTTATTCCTCTCCCTTTCCTCTTTTCCCACCATTGTCTACCTCTCAGTCTTGACTCTGCCCCCATCACCCATTTTTGTCTCAAGGGAAGCAGAGCTGATTAAGAGAGTGGCCATCAGAGCCGAACTGCCTGGATTCAAATTCTGACCCTGCAACTTCCCAGCTGGGTCATGTGGGACAAGTCACTCAGCCTCTCTGGGCCTCATCTTGCAAGTGCAGATGGGAATAAGAACAGTAGACCTCTCAGGCGGAAATCTTGGGGATGAAATGGAATGTGCGTGGAGAGCCTGGCCCAGAGTCATGGGCAATGACATTGTTCTTGGAGGTGGGTGTTGTGGTCTGCACAGCTTGGCCTGCCTTGGGACTGCCTCTGGCTCCTGCACTGGCCGTGGGGCAGTCCCTTGCCCACACAGACGGGACCGTAAAGGTGCCCGTGGCCTTGGCTCCTGAAGCACAATGACCTCTCTGACCCGACGGTGCAGCCTCCCTCCCCCTTTCCTTCTGGCTCCCCAGCCTCCTGGCCCATTGTTCTCCACATCTGGTCCAGCTTGAGCTCCTATCCCGGGGAATCCCCCAGCCTCCCACTCCTTGGTCTTGGAGGTTTTTATACCTTTCCCTCTCCCACACTTTCCTCTCCCTTTCCCTCCCTTCCTCCAATTCTTCACTCCCCACTGCAGTCCTTGTCCAAGAGTCCTGTCACAGAGATGAGACCCAGGAGGGGGCCAAGGGCGCAGCTGGCTTGGGTGGCCTTGAGGTGGCTTGCTCCTTCTCATTTCCTCCTGTCGCTGCTGTCCCACCATTGTCCAGTCTTGCGCTTTACCTTGAGGTTGAGTCCAGAGGTTTGCAAAGCATTTGATGTGATGGGAGTTAAGGGACAACTTTGCCTAGGTAGGTATCTGCAGCTCAGCCCTTAGGGCTGGAGGTGCCTGTTGGGACAAAAGTCACTCCAGTCGGGCCACTGGCCTGGAAGCTTGTGGCCATTTGGATGGTGTGATGAGGACCTCCTTGGCCTAAGCATCACCTGTGCTCCCCTCTGTACTTTCTTTTCCACCCCCTACCCCCTACTCCCTGGAGATTCCCAACAGCACAGGGTCTGAATCCAATCCACAGGGTCTGAATCCTGGCTCTGGAGGCAGACAGAGCACTCACTAGCTTAGAGACAGAGCGCAAGTCACATAACCTCTTTGGGCCTCAGTTTCCTTCTCTAGTAGAGCATGGCTATACTGCATCTCCTGAATTTGTGGTAAGGATTTGATGAGATGATGTAAGTGAAGGCTCAGTGCAGCACCTGGTACAGAGAAAGCACTCATTACATGGGTCTAGTTTACCTGGAATTATTTGCCAGGCTTTATACCCTGAGTGCAAATGGTAAAGATGGTCTTGCATTTGTCCCTTCACTTTTTTCTCTGTCTTGTCTGCCAGGAAGTCTCACTTCCCAGGGTGTCCTCAGCTTGGATGCAGGCCCAGGCTACCTGTCCTGCAAAGAGAGCCAATGTGGGCCTCAGGTCCTCTGGTGGTAGCCTGCGTGGTGGCCCCACTGCCTGACCCTCACTCATCCTGCTGTGTGCAAGGCAGTGAGCAGGACAGAGTGACCCCCAAGGGACTCGTAGTTTCAGGTCAAGGTGGGGAAATGAAAGAAGTGGGTTCAGTGGAGTGGCTCTGGATTCAGGTCCTCCTGGAGGATGTAGAGGAGTGAGCCTGAGGAGGTGGGTGGGCAGCAGGGAGGCAAGGCGGGGGGAGGGAGCAGGATGGAAGAGGCCTGAGTTGGGTGAGCTGGCTTCTTATGGTCCTACAGGAGGGTCTGTGGACAGAGGAAGAGGAAGTTGGGCTGGGATGTCAGCGGGGCCGCTGGATGATGGCGGGCCTGGGGCCCTATGCTAAGGACTTGGACTTTGTCCTATAGGCTATGGAGAGCTTTGGAAGGGCTCTGAGCTGCATGATGAAAACAGCAGCTACCTGCCAAGCCTTGTGCCGAGTGCTTCACATACATCATCCCACACCACCCTCACAACAGGCCATGGGTGAAAAAGCTAAGTATTGAAGTTGGGTAACTTGCCCAGGATCATGCACATTTGCCTTCCAGAAAGCCCCACAGGCTGCACTCTGGGAAATGGATCAAAGGAACAGAGAAGAGGGAGGAAAGGCGGCCAGCTGGGAGTAATGCAGGGGAGCTTTGGTACAGGAAGCTCTGTTGCGGAGAACGTTTCCAGAACGCCATCTGGTGGCCAAAGGCAGCAAGGCAGGGAGGTGGGTGGCTGGAGTTCACAAATGTCCACAGCTCCAGGGAGAAGGACATGGCAACCCACTCCAGTACTCTTGCCTGGAAAATCCCATGGATGGAGGAGCCTGGTAGGCTACAGTCCATGGGGTCGCTAAGAGTCGGACACGACTGAGCGACTTCCCTTTCACTTTTCACTTTCATGCATTGGAGAAGGACATGGCAACCCACTCCAGTGTTCTTGCCTGGAGAATCCCAGGGATGGGGGAGCCTGGTGGGCTACTGTCTATGGGGTCGCACAGAGTCGGATGCGACTGAATCGACTTAGCAGCAGTAGCAGCACAGCTCCAGACCCCTGTTCTTGTGCTATGTGCAGTACAGTGGAAGGACCTATACCCGGGTGATAATCATTTCTCCTAGTAGGAAGCCAACTGTGGCTGAACACCCACAGAGATAATAGAATTCAAGATTTTACCTGAGCTTTTTTTTGGTGGGGGAATGCCGCTTAGTTCCTCAACCAGGGGTCAAACCTGTGCCCTCTGCATTGAAAATGCAGTCTTAACCACAGAACCACCAGGGAAGTCCCTTATTTGAGTATTCTTCAAAGGGCATTTGTGTGTGTGTGTGTGTGTGTGGCCTTGACTGGGACCCATGGATGCAAAAAATGAACTCACAGGTCATGAAAACCTTTGGATTTCATAGATGGTTTATTATTGTTCTCTGTTTGTTTTACTCATGTCGGGGGCAGGAAGCTAAGACAACCCTTTAAGAATCCAAAGGCAGCAAAGGAAGCACCGGAGCTTTTAAAGGCTATTGTCTCTAGGAATGAGGTCCCCATTTAGTAATATTTCCTCCTCTTTTTTGGCTGCAGGGTCAGTTGATCTTTAGCAGCCACATGTCAAGGGGTAAAACTGGAATTTGTTTGGAAAGCCTACATCACCCTGAGTCTTAAAAATAGATTCAAAGAAGCTGAAGTTGTTTCAAATCCCTAAGTCTGAAATATTTTTAAAAAGAGGGCAGGCTTGGGCTTGGTGCTTGGAGGCCTTGTTCACCACCAGCCTCTGGGTTGCTTACACTTGGGTCCATCACTATAGGGGGAGGTCGAAGAGTGAAGTGGGAAGGGTCAGGGATCAGAGAATCTCTTTAAATACCTGGGGTCCTGAAGAACCTTGAGGGGTCAGACCAGCAGGGTGGGACTCTGACACTTAAGGGACTTGAAGACCAGTTGGATGAAGGCTAAGATCATTTCCCCACATTAGGAATGTCCTGCTGGGCTGGCTGCCCACCCCCAGGGCACCCTGTGAATCTGCCCAGATGCTGCCGTAGTCACCATCACCAAATCAAAGCACCACCAAAGTAGCATTAGAAGCTGGGAGGCTTCATTCTCAAGACCTTTCTGGTTGGGGAGGTGACTGGACCACCTAAGATTTGCCTCCTTTTTTTTTCCCAGCAAAACCTTATTGAAGTTGGAGGCATTCTAGCCTGGGGCATTGACTGGGAGACTCAAGGACTTGTTCTGGGTCACCTGTTTCTGCCCCACAGTTTGTTGTCTCTGTTGGGGGCAGATCACAGATGTCCAATTCCACCCAACTGGGTGGATTTCTGGGCCCACTGTAGAGAGAATACTTGGCAGGGAGAAATTTGCTAAGAGAGGACTTTTCAGGAAATGGAAAGGTTTTGTGTCTTGATCAAGACTGGTATCTCTCAAAAGGGTCCACGTATCATAGTCACTTGAAAAGCTTTTCAAAATTCCAGGAACAGGGCAATTCATACTTTTCTTTTTTCCAGACTGCCAAAGAGAATTTTATAATTGCCAGCTCTATTTCCCTCTCTTTGAAAATGCTTCATCTTTCATATCATTTGGGACCAGGTTGGGTAAGTTGATTGGACCTTTTTGCTGGGAAGAGAGGCCTAATTGATCTATATAATAAAAGGGAAAATAGATGAGGGGGAGGGGAATTGCTGAAGGTTGAGGATATTGTGGAGGGGGTACCTTAGAGAACAGCTGAGGCTGTAAAGGAAGTAGGTTGATGATAAGGACTTTCTGATGGATAGTTGTAAACTGTAAACTCCTGTTTGCAGGAGTAAACTCCTGTAAACTCCTGTAAACTGTTGTAAACTCTTTCATGGTTTTCAAGAAA